GGGATCTCCCTTTCTGGAGACATCCCAACCCCACCTGGACACGTTCCTGGTCACCTGCCACTCCCTCTGGGATCACTCTCACCTTCAAGCCAGTGCTCTCTGCCTCGGAGCCCTTGTCCACACCCGTGATGTAGATGCCCAGGGAATATTCTGCCCCTCCTCGGATCATGAGGCCCAGGGATTTCCCTTCGTTCAGGACCAGGTTCACCTGCAGGGAACAGGGACAGACATTGATGTGGTGTCCAGAGCAGGGGTGGGACACAGCCACAGAGCTGGGCTGGACAGCAGCTCCTGTGGGACTGAGGAGGCACTGGGAAACAGGAGGAAAAGCTCTGGGGGCGGAGAGGTTCAGCTACATCAGGGGCAGCACGTGGGGTGGATTGTCAGCCAGGATCTTTAATGGAAACTCTTTCCCCCCAACCCAGGGAGGTGTGATGTGTTGGAATGGCTACCTAGAACAGAGGCTAGAGCAGATAAAGACAATAAAAGTATTTATTAAAGGCCAGTAAATCAGCTGGTCCACAGTAGTTTTCCACTCTCTCCTTTTACAGGTTGTCTGAAGGTTCCTTCATTTGCCTCACAATCATCACAGGGACACCGAAGACCCTGACAGAAGCTCTGGCCTGGCTGAGGTGGATGATTTCTGGATGTTATCCCAAGTGATTGTTTGCAGGTGTGCTTGCTGTGCTTCACAGAACACTGCTTGGAACAGGTTCTGATAAATGGTGGCTTGTCCTTGCCCACTCACACTGCCCCACAGGTTCTGATCAATGNAGACTGATATAGTATAATAAAGTGATTAATTAGCCTTCTGATATCCATGGAGTCAGATGCATCATTCCTCCCTGCCAGGGGGGTTGCTCGCTTTTCCAACCACAACCTCCTGAGTGATTCTGTCACCTTGCAGCTCATGCCCAAACTCTGAGGGAGCCACAAGGGTTTTATTCCATCTTCTCTTTTTGCAGGACATTTGTCTGTGCAGACTTCAAAGCTCACTGCAGCTTTCAAGGGGTGGCTTCGGGATGAGTTTGCAGATGACACCAAATGTGTCCAGGGCAGGGAATGGAGATGGGAAGGGTCTGGAGCCCCAGGAGAGGCTGAGGGAGCTGGGAAGGGGCTCAGCCTGGAGCAAAGGAGGCTCAGGGGGCCCTTGTGGCTCTGCACAGCTCCTGCCAGGAGGGGACAGCCAGGGAACAGGGAGAGGAGGAGAGGGAATGGGCTCAGGCTGGGCCAGGGGGGCTCAACTTGGATATTTCAGAAAAAATCTTCACCAAAAGGGCTGAAAGGACTCCAAAGTCCCCATCCCTTAAAAGATTTAAAAGCCATGTGGATGTGGAACGTGGGGCAGTGCTGGCCTTGCAGTGCTGGAAGAATGGTTGGACACAATGATCTTGGATATCCTCAGCCTAAACTACTCTTTGTTCTATGACAGCCAGTGCTGAGGTAAAATCATTCAGCTCTTCCTATTTAGAGTCTCCCTTTCCCTCTCCTCTCATATCTGGATAAATATGGATCATGGTTTTCCCCCCAGCCCTTGTTCTGGGAACTCAATACTGAGTTGTTTGCTCAGAGCAAGCTCCCTGGAATCTGCTATTTCTGATCTAAAGGTCAAGGAGAGCAAACAAAAATGGCTTAAGGACAAAAAAGAACCCAAATCCTGACAAAACACAGCAGCAGGAAAAATGAGCAAGGAAGAAATGAGGGCCAGCAGGGCCAGGAACAGCATCAGGAGCTCAGCTCGTGCCAGGCACCTCTGGGGACAGCAGGAAGGAGGCAGGAAGGACAGGAGCTGAAAGCAAACAAGGCTGACTCACCCCCCTCCTCCTCTAAACCCCACTTTTCCACTCTCAGAACTTCCTTGGAGGCAGCAGATTTTCAACCATGCCCCAAGAACACACTGTCAGAAGTTTCATGAATGAATAAACATCAAGCAGGCCAAGGGCAAGCCCATGAATATTGAGTTATTGACTGAGTGCAGAGCTCCAGCCTGGGTTTGGCTGCAGTTCTGCCTGCTGAGGGAGCAGGACAGCAGCACCTGAACCAGCACCAGCTCCTCTGGGACCCTTATCTCAGGGTCTTGGTCCTTGTTCTGGAGCTGGGAAGTTTCTGGGCCTCAGAGAAACTTCTTTAGTTTTGTCTGACCTTCCGTAGTTTTTGTTTGTCCTTCCATCAAAATTTAAGGGGAGTGTAAAGTATTAATTATTTATTTTAGTTATTATTTAAAGAATCTGAAATTCTGATTTGGTGCAATAGATATAAGGAGGTAAAAATGAAATGTTTGACAACATTACAGATTGGTTTGGGTTAAAAGGGAGCTTAAAGCCCATCCAGTGCCATTCCTGCCATGGCAGGGACACCTTCCACTGTCCCAGGGTGCTTCCAGCCCTGTCCAGCCTGGCCTTGGGCACTGCCAGGGATCCAGGGCCTGCCCATCCTGCCAGGGAAGGATTTCTGCCTTTTCTCTCATCTAAACATCTCCTCAGAATCAGCTCAATTCTGGTAACAAACTCAGTGAAAATAGCAAAGCCCTCAGAAGGATCCACTCCTGGGAAGCCAGCAGGAACCTTCCCATCCACCCAGCCAGGCTGTGTTGAGCCCACATTGAGCAATCCCACAACATTTCAGAGAGCAACAAATTACCTGGAAATCACATTTATCCACCAGTTCTTGCTTCCTTGTGGCTTCACATCCCTTCCACCACCACCTGGAGCAGCAATCTATACCCCACCATGTCTAACAGCAGGACATAAAAGGCCTTTTTTTACCACCAAACTCCCAGGCAGCACTGAATTTACAGCCTGTAGCATACACAAATCAGGGTGGGAAGCAGCTGTGAGCATCTGAAATCACAGCAAGGCTGGCATCCAGCACAGCACGAGCCTGCTGGACACACAAATCACTGCCTGCAGAGCACAGCAGTGAGGGGGGTTCTCCAGAATCAACCAGCAGAAGCTCAGGTGTGCAAACAACAGTGGCAGAACCTGGGGGACAGGGCAGGGAACTGCTCTGGGTGCTGAGTGTGGTTTTTTGCTGGAATTCCAAGCAGGCATGGAGGGATTCAGACAGGAATTCTGCTCTTGGGACTGTCCCTGTGACATCTCCTCTGCTGAGCTCTCTGCCAGGGGATGAAGAAGGAAGAAAAGCAGAGATTTTCCCTGTGCAGCAAACCCAGGGAACAGAAAAACCACCAAGGAAAACACTTCTATTTGTATTTTTGGGGCCTGAGGCAGTGAGGC